GTTCAAAGTAAGCGTGCTTTACTCGTTTAATTTTGTTATCTACAACGTTTCACTTGGAAGATTCTGAAATAATATTAAAACAAAGTAATTATTTAGGCTTTTAAAGGAACACGATAACGTACAGTATTTTGATTTAAAAGATTCGGAAGAATAAAAAAAATGGTTGGCTTCAATCAGTATGTAATGGTGTCTCGTCGTATAGTAAGACGTTAGTTCAAAGTTTAGAAATGCAGTAGGAAGCTTCAATTATTGAATATGCCCGCGAAGGTTACGGTATCATTATCTATAAAAAAGATATATAACAAATGTTTGTTGTATCGAAGCCAAGTTAATTTATTTTATTCTGTATTTTATTTGCTGTTATAGACGGTAACGGTCAACACACGTGAAAATTTCAACTCTCTAACTGGTTCATGTGATTCTGTATTTTCAATATATATATATATATATATATGTAATATAATATTCAGAAGACGACTGCGTAATTTGAAAATGCAACTGAATTGGTGTGTTTTTTTTTTTTTACTTTTGAGGCAAAGGTTTGATGACCATGCAGCCTTGTCCTTAGTACCGAATTCTTCTATATTATTATATGTATAGAGCATGTCTTATAGCTTTCAATTATTTAAATATATCTGTATAAATATCTTGGTTAGTCGTCAATGCTTGAATGGAGCGTGGGACTTTGTCAGGTAGTTTGATCATCAAGATGACAGTAAGTAAAGATTGCTGAAGGAATCATTTTTATTCTGGATAGATGTGCAATAAATCTCCCTTTTCCATTTCGAATCCAATTGATAATGGTGTAAATTTCTCTACTCATTCTTGAAAACTTTGTGAACCAAAGAGTTTAACCAACTTCTCTGTCCACATCACACATAATATCAGGGTACCACAAGACGTTGTACGTGGATAAATAATTTTCACAACTCATTTTCCAATCTTCTTTGATTTACTTTTTACATAAAGTAACTTTGAATATGGAACTGAAAACATATATCTGTAACTTATGTCACTGTCAACGTCAGTAAAGCGATTGCATATGCTTTTTGAATTGAAGTCATAACTTGTAATTGTTCTTTCAAAAGAGTCTGCTTGTTCGTTTCTAACTAGTTCATTAAGAGATGGAGTCCACTAAAAATAATTTTAGTATTATGTTCTCCCTTAAGATATTATGATATTTCTTATATCACTTAGTTGATTGTGCACTTAATTAACTACTTTACAAACTAGTTATCAAACAATTACTAGAGAATCTAAGCTGAGTCCTAATAAACTAAGAGCATTATGATTTTCCAGACATCCAAGACAGAAGGTGTGTAGAATGCGCATGACATGTAGTTGCCATTTTCGGAACAATCAGTTTTAGTTTAATAAATAATTAAACTGATTGCTTAAACTTAAACACAAATGTGTTTAGGATAATGTGAAATGAAAGCATATACTTCTTCTTTTTGATTAATTTCAGGTTGTATTATTATTTTTAAATCAAAATATTTATCATAAAATGTGCCTTATATAGGCACATTTAAAGATTTTTCCAGACATGATTATTCTAATAAAAGTTAAATTGTTGATCAAATTGAGAGTTATCAATGAGTCTTGTAAAATGAAAGAAGCATGAGCATTAACAAAATTAAAACTATTGATTTTCTTAATAAGGGGTGATTTTTTAAAGATAAACATTGCAACTGAAACCTACACTTCAAGAACTTGAAGCGAATAGAGGGAGGAGGTATGTTACATGCTAATTATAAGTTTTTAACCAAATTATGAAGCTCTATGTGTAATTATTATTTTGTACCAAAAACTGATATAATATGGTTTTATTACAAAGTAAACTTTGAGCATTCCACTGTATTACCCTTAGGGGGTACCGATCCGAAGTGAATTATATTTTTTGTTATTGATATTTCAAAAGTTTTAATTAAATCAGATGATATGGATTTGTCACATAAATATAATAGTTTATCAGTGGCGTTTGTTTTTGATTTGTATGGCAAAGACTTTTCTTTATCATTGAAAAGATCAACATGGCATTTATTCTGAATTTTCTGTTTTTTTTTTTATTTTTTAACATTATTTCCTTTACAATGATAATTTATAGCTATTTCAGGAGAAACAGTACATTTTTTTGTAGCTATGATCTTCCCCACGTATCCAGCACTCTGTAAATTCTTGTAAAACTTTGCTAAATGACTATATTTAAGAAAATGTAAACATTCTTTTATTGGTGGGATTCTGGTAAGATAGAGGTTGTAAACATTATATCTACTGTTCCTGTTGGTAATAATGTGAAGTTATCGCGTCATCCTTGGTTCATCGAATAAAGCGCCTAATATAAATAATATTTCTGCGACTAGATATTAGGGTATATCTTTCGATTAGATATATTTTATGGAACATTAGTAATGACTCAACTAATTTCAGCAGCTTATGCTGGAATTGTAGCTTTGTAATTATATTCGTTGGATTGCATAAAAAGGCATTGGCTAGAGCTGACTTATCACAATGCACCGATCTTGAGTTTGTTGATATGCTGAAGATAGCGAATACCTTTAACGAAACGCTTGAGGCAGGAACTGAGAGATGTCATGTCACCTTTATAAAACCACGAAATCTATATCCATGAAGCTTTTTGGGTACGAATGTAATCATTTATTCTGTAGGATTCGTAGGAGTTTTCGCATTGTGTCGTCACAGTGTAAATTGAGTCAAAAGATATTTTTTATGTCTAGTAATTTAAAATCACCTTATGGAAAAGAGATTTCTCAAAGATGACATTTAATATCGGACACATAAAAGTTTTAATGTAAAGAATCTAGGAATAAGTTAAGAGTTGGTGATGGTACGATGACACACAGATAAAGGGTCTGAATGCTGTGGTTTGAGGTGAGGACGTAGAAAGGAAAATAGAAATAAAATGTTGTATATATCATCATCATCACCAGCCTAATAATATCGCCACTGCTGGGGCTCAGGTCTTCCCTACGGATGGAATCAAATTGAATCGAGTTTGGAGAATAGGCCATGACCCACCGCGCTGGCACAGCGGATTGGTGTGTATTAACGACTGCAGATGCAGCCGGAACTATAGGTTCAATATGGCTTACGAAGCATAGAGGAATTCAAGATAATAAATTTTTGGTCACCCATCCTATGACCAGCCTTTGCAAAAGTTGCTTAACAACCGTATCGCAGACCGAGCGCGCAAGCCACTGCGCCATCGAGCTCCTTCTATAATTCATATATTACGAATATTCGTAACGTCAGCGGTATTAAATATCGTAGTTCATTTCATTTCGTTGAATAGACATAAAAATGACCTCTAAAGTAACAAAAAGTGTTGTAATAACTCTAAAATATCGCGTGCAACCAGTATAAATGATGTACTCGATAATTCATTCAGCTGGCGCGTCGCCAAACGAGGCCTAGCGTAAATTCAATACTTCACAGAGTTTTTATTTGAATCCGCTCAGTAACATTATCAGTTATTGCGATGACAATTTCACCGTATTCGTACTTAAACCGATAGAAGTAGATACTAGTACATGTAGTTCTATGTAACTTTTCAAAGGCTTTGAACTTCAAAACACTTTTCATGTGGTCTTCATTTTTTCTGTTTGAGCAACTCTTGTCCTTCATCTTCTACCCGCTATTCCTAATAATTGCTGACAAATTCAGCACGATTCCCTTCGAGATTAGGAAATACATATTTGGGATTTTATTTCCTAGTGAACAAGATGGAGAAATAATATTATAACCATTATTGTTATCATTCCTCGGCATCTTTATCACTGTACCGCTCGCTGAGCCCCGAATTTTATAAGTGGTCGAGATCAAAGCACCCGGTCAAGCAATATCTATGCATTAGTGATGTACGTGTACGTATATACATGCGTATAAGCGGATAAACAGATACGTATAAGATAAGCATTATAATTATTTGACAGTAAAATTATATGAGACAATATTTTAAACGAAAAGCAGTGTATTTTAATTTAATATTACCTATTTATATTAACTTGGCCCGTGTATTTTTTTTTATTTTTTTTATGGGATAGGGGGCAGACGAGCAGACGGATCACCTGATGGTAAGTGATTACCGTCGCCCATGGACACCTGCAACACCAGAGGGGCTACAAGCGCGCTGCCGGCCTTAGAGGGAAGGGTTGAGGGGTAGAGGGAAAGGAATAGGGAGGGGTTGGGCCTCCGGTACCCTCACTCACACGACGAAACACAACGCAAGCTTTGCTTCACGTCGGTTTTCTGTGAGGCCGTGGTATCACTCCGGTCGAGCCTGCCCATTCATGCCGAAGCGTGGCTCTCCCACTAATATAATATTATAGTTTTGTTAATTTTGTTGACAGTGAGACTCTTTCAAAGGTTTTTATTAAAAGTTAAGCTATCCTTTTCCAACATCTGACTCATTTTAGTCAAGATTTTTTTAACGTAGCGAATTTTAAACAAATCTGGAAAAGTTCAAATTACTAAAGAACAATGTTAACCGTTACAAAATTCTAATCCAACATTTTATCCGTTATTACATAAAATAATACAACGTTACAACTTCTGTTTATTTTTCATTCATTTGAAGTTGGAGATAATATTTAATTTTGATAAATAAATATGAGTTTACTTTTAAATGATGGGTAACGCAATCAAAATGGATTAATTAAAAAATAAGTGAATCGCTTATTTTGAAAAGGGCCTAAGTCCACAAATGCAAATTTTACAGGAGACAAAAAAAACTGTGCCCTGAAAAAAAATGTATGATCATATAATTTTATGTTTATCTAGTGGATCAATGTCTTTTTAACTCATTGAATTAATTGATTTGTAAGCTAAATACGCCATTAATTATCAAGATAATGGGTATTTTCCGACCTGGACTAATGCCCTTTTCAAAATTTAAACGGTTAATGTAAATAATACAAGCAAAATTTTACATTTATTAATGGTATTTTTATTGGCTCATCAACACAGTAATGTTCACACACTCATTCTACATCTTCTTCAAGGGTTTCAGATGACTTAGCTGGCCAATTAATTATATCATTGTAAAAAGTCAGAAATTCTGTGGAAATATGTTTCATGACTTTCTTAATATCCTCTATTTTTTTAATATTAATTGGAACTTTATCACCGTAAGCTTGAGCTGTGGGCAATAAAACATTTTCCCGCCCAATCGCCAGTTTGAAATCAAATTTTAAGAAGCCATCAATATATTCTCTTGTTTGAACTACACCTGGGTTTGAGGAATCGTAGTAAAATTGTTGGAAAAGTGATACATTAAAGTTTACTTTCTTATCTTTAGGCACTTTTTTACCTAATGATTGTATGGAAATACAGTTTTTTTTATATAATCGGGTCCACCACGTTTGAAGTCAATGACCATTTGAGTAGTGACTTTAAAGACTGATATTTTGCTGAAATATGAACTTGCTACTATAATATTTTCATATTCTTCTGGGGTGTACACTCTGTCATATCTCTTTATCTTCCTTTTGACAAGACCAAAGTCTCTGTCGCAGGGCAGAAAAGAATGGCCCCTGGTTGGAAAGTAATGATAAATTTTTTGAAATCTATGTGTCTGTGTCAAAGCCATAAGAAATCTTACTACTGTATTATTTTTATTTTGGCCAGCACATCCGTCTGAGAATATGTGCAATTCGTCAACTGCAGATGGCATGAAATGTTCCATATAATGAAGTAAAAATGAACATACTTCATTTGGACCCTTATTGGCTATGCCCTCATGGTATGAGTAAAAAACAGCAGCGTCTGTTTTTAAATTATGAACACAAAACTCATTGACCCAAAGCTGTCTGTAATAAAATATTTCTTGAACAGGAATGTGAGGTAGAGGAAGATTTTGCATATAGTCTATACATATAGCAAAAGCATTTTGTTTATTTTTGATGTCATTCTTCACTTGCTCTATCTTTTTATAGAATTTTTTCGCTCTTGTTTTGTGCACAAGAAGCTCTCCTACAGCCACTCTTTTTGCAGATTCACATAAGAAATTACTTTTAATCTTCGCATTCAATTCCTCACATTTTGAGCAAGTATCAACTTGAGGTCTTCCAAAGCTTAACGAGAAGTTTTCCTTGAAATATTTTCTGTAGAAACTGTATGTGATGCTGTTACATTCTGGATTTTTCTGTAAAAACATTTTGTGCATTTGTTTAATGTCGAGAGAAGCACTGAGATACTTTTTTTCAGAATTGCCATAATGAACAGATTTAACATCAAATGACTCAATGTGTTCTCTTATCTTCAAACATAGGTTTCCATCAATGGCCCGACGGGACGTCACCTCTTTTCCACGCCCATCTTTAGGTACTTTTCCAATTTGTTTTAAGTATGATAATCTACGAATCCTCTTTGCACTCACTGCAAATATAGACATGAAAGCCTTTTTGCAAACTTGAAGAGTTTTTTTATTTACTTCAACATAGTATGTATAGCTTCCGAACCTACTCTTGCTACGTTCGTCATCAACTCTGGGCCTTCTCCTTTCGATCTCGGTACAACTTATAAGGGATTGTAAAAAAATGTCTTGTCCATTTTTCGATTCAATACTGTAAAGTTTATCGAAATTCATTTGTCGCTGGTCTTCAGATGTTTTATTGAAACATTGCTTTTTACACCTAGATAACAAACAAATTAAATTAGTAACAGCTAGATTCTACTGATATTAAAACAAAATAATGGAACTAGAATAGAAAAATACCTGCAATTTTCGCCAATAGTCTTTGCTTGTACAAGTTTGTTTTTCTGTGTTGTGTACTCTCTTCCACTTATTCTTTGTCTTTTGCGTACATTTTGCACGTAGTTTTCTTCATTTTTCACACCTTTCTTTCGTTTTTTCGCATCATTTCGCACATTTTCACATTCATTATCGGAAGACATTTTTGCAAATGAGCGTTAGTACATTTTGAGGTTATGTGTCAAAACTGGCATTTGTTATGAAAGAGGCACTAGTCCAGGACTAATGCCTTTTTCAAAATACACCAAAATGTTCAAACCTCATAACTTGGTAAAGACGAAGCGTACTAGTGCCCTTTTCTGAGAAAACGTGCAAATAGCATAGACAAATACTCCTACATACTTATTTCGTTTTTGCAAAAAGTGTGACTTGTGCCCTTTTCAAAATAACCGATTCAAGTATACACTACTACATTAGTCAGGTACCTCACACTTCTAAAGCCCTTTTCAATTTAGCTCAATTTTTATGAAATTCAGTGGATATTGTTTTTTTATTCGACACCAACAATTGAGCCGGCTTCGGTTTGTATTAATTTTTTTATGAAAATCAGAGGTTTTTTTTTATTCGACACTAACAATTGAGCCGGCTTCGGTCATTATCATTGATAAATATTCCTTAAGAAAATGTCTATTAAATAAAAATAACCTCATTGAAACCCACAGAGTGAATAAGATACTATGTACTGAGAACCGATTTTGTATTTTGATGAAAAATAATAAAAACCGTCATTGAGAACTTTTTAAAAAATATTTATCTTTACTAATTATAATCGGAATACATAATATCACCTCAAAATCACTGAAAATTTTCTAAGTTTTAATTTTAATCTTACGGATATTTTCGGTCACGAAGTACATCATTACAGTTATAAAATATACCCTCACCCATCCAGTTATTATAGCGAGCGGATTTCCTTTGGGTATCCGAGGTTTATTATTTTCTTTTGAGATGTTTCTTTTTTACTGTATCGTTAAGCCTTTTTCATGCACTCCAGATTGGTTTCAATCAATAAACCAATGTTTTGTTTGATCACCGCGATTTCGCCTCTAATAATGAAGCAAAAAAAGCCTCGTGCTTTACAATACATACACAAAAATACATTTTTAAGCAATAGAATGAGACGGTAATACTATGATCTGTTTTCAATTGATATAAATAATTAACATTTCAATTAAGATAAGTGCATTCATTAATTCAATACTAGATATAAAATAAAATAAGTTTGAGATAGAAGAAAACATTAAGCTTTTTCTAGGGAAAAAATTTATCTTTTTTATTATAAACTAGCTTTCGCCAGCGGCTTCGCCCGCATGGTCCCTAGGGAAATGTTAAGTGGGATAAAAAGCATCCTATTATCTAAGTCAGTTAACACCCTATCTGTATACCAAATTTCATCAAAATCCGTACAGTAATTTCGGCGTGATTGACCGACAAACATCCAAACATCCAGAATCTAAACATTCAATCAAAAAAACTTTCACATTTATAATATTAATTGGATAATTAATAGGATTAGCATTGGTATTCATACTAGCTTACTTACTAGCTTTCTGGATAACTGTGTAGCGGGATAAAAAGAAGCCTATATGTTAATACAGGCTTAAAATTATTCGTATACCAAATTTCATCAAAATCAGTTAAGTAGTTTTTGCGTGAAGATATAGCAAACATTCTAACTTTCGCCTTTATAATATTTGTAAGATAATATATGTACTTATCTTCTTTATATTGTAAAAGAATCACATGCATAGCATTCTCAAGGGCAATGGTTATTTATTACAAAGTCGAAGGATGTTTGAAGGACACGAATGGCATTTTTTTCTTTTAGGTTTGTTTTGTGAAGGAAATTCAGGTTGTTATAAGATTAACCGCGGTATTTTTCTGCCTCCTTTTGCAAATTATATAATGCAAATATTGCTGTTTAAGCGTGCACATGTGTGAATTCTCTGGACACACATTGTCTAATATATATTGTAATTAATTTAAGTACTATAAAGTAAAGTTATATGCCAAAATAAAGAGAAAAAAAAGTAACGTATTGTTAGTGTGAGAGAGAGAGAGAACAAATAAGCTCTGATATGTTTGTTGGTTAATATACGGACCCCAACTGAGAGCGTTGTGATACAACTCAGATAGGGAAGACTGCCTTTCAATGAAAATCTAATTTTTGCCAACTTCGATTTAAGCGAGGGATTCCTCTGTAGACTTCTAAAGAAGACAATTGGGGAATAAAGAATGTATAAAAGAGAAGAAGAGGGTCAGAACAAAGGGAGGCAGATGTGGTACTTAAATGTAGTATAAGAGATAGCACTTAGTGCGATTCGCCTTTGTTTGTGGTGCGATCAAATAAAGTTAAGTGTGTTTTTTCACTATCACCAGCCTTTTAATTCCTGTGCTATTAATGGATCGAATAGGGAGGATGAGCCAAAACCATTCACGCGTGCCCACTGCGGATTGGTGTGTATTAACGACTGCAGATGTGGCTTACAACTGTATCGCAGGCCAAGCACGCCAGCGAAATAATTCCATTAATTTTGTTTAATTTATATTGTTGATTTATCATCTATAAATGATGTAACACGTAAAAGGCTGAGGAAAAAAAAATTGTGTGACATTAAAATATATATATATATATTTCATAAGTGATTTTTAAATGCTGGTATATTTTAATGTCACACAATTTTTTTCAACATCTCAAGAATCAATATTATAGTTGTATTTATAATCTTCATTTGATGAATAATATACATTTCATTCATAAGCATAAGTGCATTAGTACTGGTATCAATGGTTACCGAGCCGTCTATTACACTGATAGTTAAATAAAATAAAAATTAATTTAAACTTCCAAACACTTGACATCAGAGCAAATAAACTCAAGACCACGAACTCTGCTCATGATCCGTGTCCATTTTTTTTAATTGAAATAACCGCATCAGCGACTTAGGGGTACTACTATTAAGACCCCTGACGGGACTCTGTAGTAAAAGAATAAATATTTTAAAATAAAAAAGAGTTCCAAAATCGAACTCCAAAATAAAAGCAGAGAAACGAATTTTATCATAGCTTAGAAATTTATAAAATTTTCGTTGCAGTCGGGCGACCGTTCTGTGCAACATTTGAAATTAAAGATTTTGAATAACAAATATTTATTTATTCCTTTTACGGTTAGTTGCACAAACGTCCATTAAAATTTAACGACACCTTTAAGCTCTAATGAATGTCAAAATAGTATGGGTAATGTCACTTTAAAGTAATGAAAATAATGGACTTAAGTGTAACTGCCTGTTAATGACCAGTTAATTATGTAAGAAAAAAATGATACCCATATTTCTATAATAAAAATAAAAGTTTTTTTTTATATTCGCAACATGCGTCAAACTGAATATTAAAAAAAATACATAACATTTCTAATGACACACTATACATTAATATCCGTTAAGTTTTTCCACGGTTATGGTGGCATAGCGAAAGCACATATACACGTTAACCCTAAACAATTCCTTGTGAATAAAAAAAAATACTTTATGGTTTTAACTGTTGAATAGGTTAACGACATTGAATAACACTAAATTTCTTCTCACATTCATAGCACTAATTAAAAACTACAATTACAAACAAGTTAGTAGTGAGTGTTAAAAGTAAATTTATGCTAAAACTTCAATTTTAGTAGTACTTCAATTTTACTAGTAGCCTTTTGTGTTAAAATGCCATAAATAATAAATAGATAAAATACAGAAAACAAACATTCATATTACCTTCTAGAAGTAAATATCACTCCAGTAGAATCTCGTACTAGGTTAACATTTGCTAAGTCTCTGTATATTTTTACGAATTTTGATTAATACTGAATGCAGTCTCAGCGTAAATTTATTCCAACACTAAACCTTGTTAATTAATAGCACTGATGGAGATTTACTTACGAAGCGAATCCTCACTAAATAGGTACGATGACTGGGTTAACAAAAGTAATAGATAAATATTAAATACTTGTCGGAACGTCAGGCGTGACCGGCGGAAAGTTAGGTTGGTCATCATGCGCCTCTGACTAGTGTTCGAGATATTCTTTCGAAATAAGATCGCAGATAGATCACAAATCAGTTATTTAATTGAATTAATTTGTTGTCTAATCGAAATACATTAATAATAACGTGATGCAAACGGATTGCGATACGAAACGCGGAGAGTTCTGCGCTTGCGTCCGCTCAATATGGCCGCACTACGTAAAGTGCCATCTTCGAACAAACATAGACCACTCCCAAGCGATGACAGCCGTCAATGTCATAATTTGACGTTTCGCAAAGCACCATAGATCTTGACAGATGACAGCTGCAGGTGACAGATGGCGTTTCGCACAATCGAAGCGCCTTCTCGCCGACATACTTATATTTTTTTTTGCTTCAATTCTTGTCAAAGAAGTGGCTTGATTCAAGTGGGAGATTGCTAGGTCACAACTATATACATAGAAAATTTTATCGCAATGTAATTTACGGACCCACCTAATGGAAAAAACAAACAAAAATTAGATGATGAAGATTGTATGAACTATTCGTCAGTCACGCTTTTAGCCGGCTGTAGACTCTTTATGCCGGTTATCGCGTTACAGACTTTTATAGTCCTTATTTATTTAGTTTTTAACTTATGAACTAAATATAAATAATCTTTTTATTTTTAATGGTGTCCTGTTTAAATTCTTTAAATTCTTTTGAAACCATGCAACAAAATATGTGTGCATTTTTCAGTGATGGATAGACAGTCGAGTAGTTTATCAGTCGGATCAAGTGGCTAGCTAAGTAATAAATATTAAAAATCACTACTTTATAAAAAATAATCTTATTTCGATATGATCCAACTTTTAATGAAAAATAAAACTCATAATCCATTTGCACAAGAAGCATTAATAAAACAAAACGCTTTGAAATTTAATAACAAGAAATCTGCAAACTCTTAAACTTTCTGATTAAATCTCCAAAGAAGGTAATCAGTTTTTATAACGTCCATTAAGTTAAATGGACGTAGCAAGTTATTACAAACTAGTCGAAAATTTTCAGCAACTCGCGTCGTAATGGAGTTTCAATATCGTGCAATTAATAACAGGGTAATAGCCCCCCAACGCGACATTTCACTTCGTTAGCCGGACTAATTGG